GGGGCTCGCGTGACGAGCCGGTCCATGCGCAGCCGGCGGGTTTCCGAAGTTGAGGCCTATCGGGCTGTGTTCTGCACTTCCCAACTGCCTCTACATTTGCTTCTCGCCACCTTTCCCCCTCTGCACCAATTGCGCTGCCCAACTTTCGAGCGCACGGCGCTGACGCCGCTCCTCCCCCCCCCCTCCTCCTCGCCACCACGCCCTCCTCCCCCCGCGGCGCGTCTCTCGGGGCAAAAAGGTCGACTACTTCAACAAGCGCAGAGTGCTCGAGGAGCGCCAGCGACTCATGTATGAGTCGGGCGCGCTGCCGAGTGGCAGTGGAGCGGCGCCGGGCGCTGGGCCGGCGTAGGAAGAGAATAAGGAGGAAATGACATGGTTGATGCTGCGAGATAGAGAGAGAGAGAGAGAGAGAAGCGGTGTCGGTCCGTGAGGCGTGGATTGAGAGGCTCGGTGAAGGGAAGTGAGGGTGCACGCGGGCGGCAAACGCAGATGAGGACTCTTGTCTTGTGTCGCTCTCTCTCTCTCTCTCTCTCTCTCGCGTGAGCAGCTCAGACGGCGTCTCTGCTCTTCCCTCATCTCACACGCAGCGTCTACTTTGCCCACGCTGGTTTCATTGTGCACACCCCTCACTCTCATTTCTCCGCCTTCTCCGCCAGCACCTTCCTCACCGTGCGCTCAATCAGCGCCGTCAGCGCATCGGCCGAGCTCTGTGCGCCCGCGCCCGAGGCGCGCAGATGCGCCGCGCCCGCATCCACCGCACGTGCGTCGGTCGAGTCTGGCGCTGCCTCCTCCTCTGCGTCGGCATCGGCTCCTGTTCGGCCGGCGGCACCCACGACTGCGCGATGCACAAACTTGCCGACCATCTTAACGCGCATTTGCCGTGGTCAGTGGGGGAGAGCCAAAGGGCAAGGCTGGGGGGAGGGGGGGGGGGGCAGCGAAACAGGACACAACTCACGTCGAGCTCCACATTGACTGCCTCGCCCGCCTGCTTTGCACTCAAGCCAATCATCTCTTGCGTGTGGCTGATGAGCATGACGCTGAACTCGACGACTTCTCTGCCCGTGTCGCCGCCGTCCAGCGCGCCTCCCTCAGCGGCGCTGACGTCGATGAGCGTGAGCGAGGCGCCGTCGAGGGTGACGTAGCCCTTGGGAATGAGATAGGGCGACAGCTCCGAGGGCCGCGGCAGCTCCGCGGAGCGGTTGAGCCGCAGCACCAGCGTCAGCGCATTGCCCACCGGCGTCACGGAGCGCAGAGTGGCCGTCGTGTCGACGTGTCCCTGCAACGGCGCGCGCGCCACAGAAGCGATGGATCAGCCGTGCGGCCCGGGGGCGGAAACAACGCCCTTCCCAGTCCCTCTTCACGCTCTGCCCTTCACCTCCCTCTCCCCACTCCCCCACCCCCCTAGCCCTCTACACGCTCCACCTCCCTCTCCCCACTCCCCAGCGTGTGTTTGCCCTTGCCTTGCCTTGCCCTTGCTGCCCGCGCGCGAAACACACACAACAAACTCACCTGCACAAAGTGTCCGCCAAAGCGCGTCTTTGCGCCCATGGCGCGCTCGCAGTTGACGCGGTCGCCGGTGCGCAGCGCGCCGAGGTTCGTCTTGCGCAGCGTCTCGGGCGCAATGCCCACCTTGAACCAGCCGCCGCTGGGCGAGTGCGGCTCGTAGGCAAAGGTGGTGACGGTGAGGCATGTGCCTGTGGGGGCGTTGCAAGCAAGCAAGCAAGGTGGGGGGGGGGGGGGGGGTTCAGTCAAAGGCTGGCTGGCCACGCTGTTGCTCGCCAATGCAAAGCAAGGCGCTTCAGTCAAAAGCTGGCTGCCTCGCTGTTGCTCGCCAATGCGACGGCGCGCGCGCCTTGGCTGCCCTCTGCCCAGCCCACCTGCCACCTCCACCACCACCACCCACGCCCCCCTCCCCCCCCCCAGCGGCAAACGCACCATTGACGGCGATGCTGTCGCCGATGTGGCAGTCGTCGAGAATGGCATTGGCAGCGCCGATGGTCATGCTGTAGCCGCCGCCGCCGCCTGCCGAGGCGTCGAGCGGCACGACGGCTGTGAGGGGCAGCAGCTGCTCGACTGCGCGCGGGGGCGTCAGCGTGAGAAGGGGCAAGGGAGGAGATGCAAGGACAACGCACCGATGCCGGTGAACATTGCGTGTGGGTGCCAGTGGGGCGCGTGGTGGAGGAGAGGCAAGGCACGAGGCGGCTGACTGCACTCGACTCTTACTGTCATCAAGCGGCGCGCGCCTCGCGCTCTCGGCCGGCAAGCGCCGCTTAACGCCGGCGCAGCGCACAGACCGCCTCTCTCCCTCTCTCTCCTCACCCCTCCCCCCTCCCCCCTCACCCCCTGCCCCACCCCGCCATGCACGACGTCGCCGCGCAGCTGCTGCACGAGTACTGGCGGCGCAGCGGCTGGAATGCGTCGGGCTCCTACCTGCATCTCACCTCCACCTCTGCCTCGCTGCTCGACTTCCCCTTACCACACTCGCTGGGCCTCTCCATCTCCGCCTCGCCCTCGGCGCCCTTCTTCACCACGTACCGCCTGCGCGCCCTGCCCACGCTCGACGGCCAGATTGGCTATCTCTTTGCGCGCACGCAGCAGCAGCTGCGCCTGGGAGACAGCCGCGACGTCGACTTGGCGCGCACGGCGCAGTGCTTTCGCATCGTCGACGCGCCACGAGCGCCGCCGCCCGAGACGGCGCGCCCCAGGGGTGCGTGGTGGGGCCAGCCACGCAGAGGGCATGGCGCTGACTGACACTCTGTTGCGGGGCCCAGACTATCTCCTCTACGGCTCCATGCACGTGCCCTCGCTGCGTGTGGATGCCCTCTACACGCTGCGCTACTCGCCCTGCACGGCGCTGCTCCTCAGTGCCCTCTCGCACCCGGCAAAGCCGTCGCCGCTGCTGCTGCACGAACGCGCGCCCTCCTCCTCCTCCTCCGGCGCCGCCGACACGCCGCCCGCACCCGCCGCCGATGCCAAGGCGGGCAAGCTGGGCCTGCAGCTGACGCTGCAGCGCGACACGGGCCGCTGGTTCACCGAGTACAGCTACTCCGTCGACGAGGCACTGTGGGGCTTGCGCGTGCTGCACAACTTTGGCGTGCCCGATGCTGCTTCGCCGCACTCGTCCTCGGCGCCGGCGGCGGCGGCGGCAAACGAGGAGAGCGACTTGCCCGCCTCGCCGGCAGCGAGTGCGGCGCCCGAAGAGCCGCAGCCGCAGCAGCAACAGCACGTGGGCAGGATAAGGAGGATAGGCGACGATGAAGATCGCGGAGACGACGTCGGCGCCTCGTGGCAGGGCCGCTTCAGCGCCGGAGCAGAGATGTTCTTCAGTGCGCGAGAGAAGAGCGCTGGCAGTGAGTTGTCTCTCGAGTTCTGCTCCTCCCCCTTGGCCCTACTACCCACTCCCCCCCCCCCCCCCCCAAGCGGGCGGAATTAGCTCACAATAGTGGCCCCTCCACCAATCCCTTTGCTCAGTCTCGACGGGTCTGCGATTCTCCACTCTGCCCGAGCGTGAGCGCGATCGAGAACGCTGTCGTTCTTGCTCCTCCTCCTCCTCCTCCTCGTCGTCGTCGGCCGATGCGATTGCCACGCACGACGAGCAGCAGCAACAGCCACCCACGACGATCACCGCCACTCTGAACCCCATGATGGGCCATCTCTCCACGGCCTACGCCAGTCGCATGACGAAGGACCTCGTCGCCTGCTCGCGCTACGACTTCAACGTCTACAGCTACGAGTCCGAACTGACCCTCGGCGCCGAATACTGGCTGCGCGCCGCCGCGGCGGCGAACAAGACGAGACACGCCAGTGACGAGGCGGGAGGAGAGGAGAGCACAAGCACCTCGAGCGCCTCCTCGTCGACGACACCAAGAGACGTAGTCAGTGCAGATGCATCGCGCTCCACTGCCTCGTTGAGAGAGGCACGCTTCGACGCCTCCGCCTCGGCCTCCACAAGCTCAAGTGCCGGCGCAGCAGCGAGACGCACAGCTTCGCTGCGAGAGTGGGCGGCGAGCGAGGAGGCATCGGAGGAGCGACGCGCAGCTGCGCATCTCACACTGAGAGATGCAGCATCGCCTCTGCCTCGTTGCGATGCCACGCTCGTCGCCGCTGCCGCTGCCTCTGCTTCCAGCCTCACCTCCTCCTCGCCCGCCTCTGCCTCTGTGCGCGCCGCCGCCAGCAGCAGCGACGGCAGCAGCAAATGCGACGCTGCTGCTGCGCCGCTGCTCGGCATTCTCAAGGCGCGCCTCTCCTCTTCCGGCGTGCTGGCACTGCTGTGGGAGGGCCGCCTGCACTCGACGCTCGTCTCGTTTGGCCTGCGCGCCGACGTGAGTGCGGCGGCGCTGCGCCAGCAGGCGAACGCGGGCGCGTACGCAGGAGGAGGGTATGGAGGAGGAGGCGCGAGAAAGGCACCGCTGAGAGGCATTGGCTTGGACTTGCAGTACTTTAGCACCTCGGCCGAGGCGGAGGGAGAGATGGAGAGGAGGAGGTCGAGGTGGAGCGCCCAAGGAGAGGAACACGCCATCTAGCCGCCCCCCATCCCACACCCACACCCACACCCACACCCACACACGCCCAACACGCAATGCATATACATTCGTGCCCACGTGTGTAAGCATGCAAGAGTCAGTGCAAGGACTCTGAGCTGCATCTGCATGCTGAGCAGCGACAGGCGCGGCGCGACGCCGAGAGCTCGCTTCGAGGCTGCTCTGTAGGCTGCGCGCCGCGGCGGCGCTACCTGGGACGTGGCTCGTGCGTCGTGCGCCGGGCCGGCACGCTGACGGGCGCCGGAGCCGCCTGCTGGCTGCGCGCGCGGCGCGCCGCTTCCCCACACTCTGACTCGGCCAAGCAGAAGCAGACGGCAGCGGCGGCGGCGGCAGCGTCGCTGACGTCTTGTCCACCACCCCCCCCATCCCTTCCTCACTCCCACCTCGCTTCTCACCACATCGTCCATCTCTCCAGAGCCATGTCCGGCCCACGCACGCCCGCGCAACCCCTCGTGCCGCCCAGCGTGGGCGCGCATCTCATCGTCGATCTCAGCCGGCCACACGTGCTGCATCTCATCCTCAACCGGCCCAAGCAGCTCAACGCCATGACGGATGTGAGTGGCTTGCGGCCAGCCAGTGCGCGAACTGACCTCGCTCTTCTTCGCAACGCCTAGGCGCTCGAGGCGGACCTCTGTGCCGTGCTGGAGTGGTACGAGGGGCATGCCGAGCTCTGGCTGCTCCTCCTCTCCGGCGCCGGCCGCGCCTTCTGTGCGGGGCAGGATCTCAAGGCGTGGGCGGCGCAGCCGGCGCGGCCCACGCAGACGTCGCCGCAGGGACATGCGCTGCAGCACCTCGACGATACGCTCGACGTGGCGCGCAGGGTGCGCAGAGGCGGCTTTGGCGCACTGAGCACGCGCAGAAGTAGCAAGCCCGTCATCGCCGCCGTCGATGCACTGGCCATGGGCGGCGGCGTCGAGATTCTGGTGAGCACACAAACACACACACACACATCGAGCTGCGCCTGAGAAAGAAGGAGGAGTGTGGTCCGACTGGGGCAGTGCTTGCACGAAGGGTGGCAAGACAAGCTTCTCGAGGTGGCAAGGCAAGCTATTGTGCCCCCCAACTTGTCACTGACGCTTCGATGCCCCCCTCCTCTCCCCTCTACCCATTCTCATCTCGCCCACAGCTCAACTGCGACCTGGTCATCGCCTCTTCGCGCTCCATCTTTGCGCTGCCCGAGGTCAAGCGCGGCGTCATTGCAGCTCAAGGCGGCATTCCTCGCCTCGCCAGCATTGCCGGACATGTGTGTGCCTTCCTGCCTCTGCGCCCCATCTTTGACACGCACTCACTGGGCTTCCATCCCCCCCCCCCCCCCCTCTCCAGCATCGTACTGCCGAGATGTTGCTGCTGGGCAACAACATCAGCGCCTCGGAGGCACACGACACCTTCGGCTTCGTCAACCGCATCGTCTCCGTCGATGCCTCGGCCTCTGCCGAGGAAGGCAACGCCGCCGTCCTCGACGTCGCCTTCGCGCTCGCCGCGCAGATCAACGCCAACTCGCCCGACGCCGTCGCGTGCACGAAAGAGGCCCTGCTTGCCGCGCGCGATGTGGGACTGGGAGCCGACGGCGTGAATCACTCCGTCATTGAGCAGTACTGCAACGAGAGGAACAGGGCGCTGTATGTGGGCGAGAACATCAAGGAGGGCCTCAAGGCGTTTGCCGAGGTGAGTGGCCACGCCAGGGACGCACGCTGTAGTCAGATGGACTCCCCGACTGATTCTCGGCCCCCCTATCTCCTTTCGCAACGGCGCAAAACAGAAACGCCCGACGCAGTGGAAGAATCCACCCGTGTTCCGCAGGGAGAGCAAGCTATAGCCTTGCTGTGCGGCTCGCGGCGGGGGGACGAGAGGAGCAGAGGGGCAAATCGCACGCGCGCGGCAATGATCATTCTGTTCGAAGCACCGAAGGACGGGTGGTCGGGCATGGAGGCAGTTGATCGCCGCTTGCTGCGATGTGCTGAGAGCGGGGGCAAAGACGATCTGGGAGCGACGTGGCAAGCATGCCTGCGAGGCCGGGTGCGACCTGCCTCTTGGAGCTCAGGGGCAGACGGGACGCCGAGGGGCGCGCCAAAAAAAGACGGGACGATCAGATTCGCAGCAGCTCCACCCTCGTGCGATCCCAAGCCTCATGGCCCACTCTCTCCTCCTCTGCCAGCGCCTCCAAGCGTGCCTTCTTCATGCCCGCCACATCCACGCGCGCAAAGCTGCCCGCGCCCACGACGTCGGTGGCGCTGGCGCGTGCGGCGGCGCCCGGGTTGAGAAAGACGGTCGAGTCGACGACGCGCGCAAAGGGGCGCAGCAGCGAGGGCAGGATGAGCACGTCGGGAGTAATGCTGGGAAAGTGCGCCAGCGAGGAATGCGTCACGTCTAGCGCATGGCCCGTGGCGAGCGAGGCGGGGAAGAGTGGGTAGAAGCTGCGCGCGCGCGCGAGAAGTCCGAGAGGCGTGGTCAGCCGAGCTGGGCAAGCTTCTTGGGGCCACGATCCAGAG